CCCTGGCGCTTGTCTCCCGATATCATCGGCTCCGAGCGAGCGACCCGAGATATATCCGTGCGAGATCAGACGCGGTCACGATGGCTCATTGGATCGCGAAGGAGTGAACCGTCGTCCAATAAGTATTGTGCTATAGTGACCCTAGACGTGAAAAACGCCTTTAACACTGCAAGGTGGAGCTCCATTCTTTCTGCGCTACAACACTCTTGGAGTTCCAAGGTACATCTCAAACTTGGTAAAAGTTACTTTAAGGAGAGAGTCCTCCTATATGAAACTGTGGTCTGGAGTACAATCTTATACGGTCACAGCGGGTGTCCCACAAGGTTCGGTACTTGGTCCGATGTTGTGGAATATTTATGTATGACGCCGTGTTTGAAGCTCGAGTTGCCGGAAGGCGCAAAAGAACGATTGGATTCGCTGACGATGTTGCAATTGTCGTTGTCGGCAAATACATCGAGCAAGTCACGAGGTTGCCAACGAGGCTGTGGCGGAGATCCGGCGGTGGCTTTACGCCGGTAGGGCTAGACGATGGCCGCCCATAAAACAGAGGCTGTGCTGGTGACGGGCAGAAAAGTGAGAGAGAGTATTACTCTTAATGTAGGAGGCTGCAAAATATCCTCGCAGCTGTCACTGAGGTATTTGGGAGTCCATATTGACGGAGACTGCGCTTTACGAGCACCATGCGCAATGTCTCGGGAGAAGCGTCTCGTATAGCATCCGCATTGGCACGCATTTGCCTAATGTAGGTGGACCTGGGCAAAGAAGCCGAAGGCGCTGACTAGCGTAGTAAATCTCATTCTTCTCTACGCAGCCCCTATTTGGGCTGATGCCATGGGCATTCAGTCATACGCCCGTGGGGCTAAGTCGGTGCATAGAAGGTCCGCCTTGCGGGTTGCTCGAGCGTTTCGCACCGTATCCTAATGATGCTGTGTGTGTGTTAGCAGATATGCCTCCGATCGACCTCATTGCGCAGGAGAGAGCTAGACTCTATTTGCGCAAGCGGGAGGGGGCCTCAAACTGGAATATCATTACGAAAGAAGAGAGGGGTGTGACAATGGACCAATGGCAACGACGATGGGAGCAATCATCAACTGGGCGATGGACATTTCGGGTCATTCCGACATCATGACGTGGATTCAAAGGGAACATGGAGAATTAGATTTTTATCTACCTCAGATGCTGACAGGGCATGGATGTTACCGGCAGTATCAGCTCCGATTCCGGCTGGACGATAGCTCATCATGCCCAAGGTGTTCCCGGCGATTGAAGATGTAGAACACGTGTTCTTTCATTGTCACGCTTCACAGTGGAAAGGGAAAACTTCACAGACTCCTCCAGAGGAATGGACCCTGAGACATCGTCACTAGGATGCTGCTGAACACAGAGAATTGGAGTGCGGTAGCCACCTATGCCGCAAAGGTCCTGAGAACGCTCCGCTCCGAGGAGCAGTTACGAAGAAGACCGTAATATTTCGGTGACGTGCGAAAAGCCCATCCTTCCTTCTCGCGATGCAATGCCTGACGGCGGTTCGCGGGAAGGAATAGGAGGAAAGGGAGGGGTTTTAGTGGGTAGGCATAGGCTAGCTATGAATCCCACACGCAGCGGTTGGCGGCCCCGCTGTGTCTTTAGAAGATTTTCCCCTGCCCCAGTAATAAAAAAAAAAAAAAAAAAAAAACACACAGACAGACATACACACAGACACACACAGACAGACATACACACAGACAGACACACACACACACACACAGACACACACTTCCATCCCATCTATACCTATCGTCCACCCACACATCTATACAGAAACACATCCCTCCCCACACCCCCTTACCCACACAGATCCACACCAACACACACACACTGGCACAAGAACATTCTCGAGAGTACCTACACGTCCCTGTATAAACACACATCTCTCACATCTTGCGACTTTTGCACCCAGAGGTAGGTCCTTGCGACTTTTGCACCCAGTGGTTTGATCGATTTGTTTTTTAAATACTTATTTATACTTTCACGAATTCTTTAAGAGAGAGTGAGGTAAAGGTTTTATAATTTAAAAAAATGTATTTCTTCCTCCGTAGTTCTGCTTTCAAGGGTGTTAAGACGAGGTTTTTTTTACGTTATAGGATGTACCATCCCAGGTCTAAATTTCAATACACTCTCAGTATAGGTATGCTAGATTGACAGGAACTTTGCAAGCAACAGTTCGTACTGTTGTGTGTGTGTGTGTGTGTGTGTGTGTGTGTGTGTGTGTGTGACAGGTAAAGGGTTTTACTAAAAAATAACAACAGGAAAAGGAAATCACATTGTTTTGTCTCCATATCTTAAGTTTGCTATATAAAAGACAAATAAAGTTAAGTTGTTAAGAAAATGTAAAAAAGTGAAAATTTTGAAAAGGTTTCCTTAGGGCTCTATTTGATTTCCATACATACAATCAATTCTTTATTTTCCCCTTCAAGCTGACAGTTTGTGACATTGATATGCGTTTGGGAAATAGGATACGCCAAACCATCTGTCAATCCTAGAAAATGGTCCAAAATAACATTAATTGTACTTTTAAATTTATTATTTCATTCTCCTTGTGGCATGTTTTATTTATTTCCTAGAAAATACGTCTTATCTAAATAAAGTTTAAAGCAAAAGGGGCGCAGATGTGCCCCAATCTTATACCTATATCTATTTTTATGCACGTACACGATACATACATACGTTCCCTGTTCATAATCGACCCCATCTCAACCACTTTACATCATTTTACGTTGTTTAACGTTGGTGCACGAGCATACAAACAGTAGTATTATTCCTGTGACCTCCCAGTCAGCCACTGTACAGATGACCGTGATGCTGCCACCAAGCCAGCCCAGCTGCAATGATTACGACTGTCAGTTTAAAGAACTGTTTTGAAGACACGCACGATGAGTTCGAGGCGGAGGCTGTAATTAGGCCGCAGCACCACAGAAGAATCTCATTCCTAAAGCGTTCGCTCCTTGCTTTCGGGTAAAACGGGGAGAAAGAACGGATGTGTCTGCTCTCCGCCAGCCGAAACACGTGTGAAGAGGCAGGCACGTGCGGCTAAATCGGGAACCTAGAAGGTGGGGGGAGGGGGGGCAGAATTTGGGCTCGAAACGGTTCCTTTGTATCACACTCTGAAGAGTTTCCCCAGATTTACAGTGTTAAGCCATCTCGATTGAGTGAACTTCGCACTAGTTTTAAATCACTTGGGGGAGATCGTCAAAAATTGGACAGAAAAAAAGAGCCAGGAAAGTTCATCCTAGAGCTTTTGTTTAAAAAAACGGAGATTATTGTCTACAATGGCTGAACTTTAGTTACTACGCAGGTAGACGTACTTCTTACAAGCGGTTAGATTGGATATTATGCGGGAAAAACAATTAAAATGGAGAAAATACGAGATTGAATTTCTTCTGGTATATTATTACATTCAGAACTATATTTTTTCATTTCAACAACACATTCCGGACTGGCCTGCTAATTTCTCTAACATGAAAAATAGGGAAGGGCGTCACAAAAATCATAATCTTCATTGACAAAGAGCCAACAACAAACTTATTTGGTGGTTACTTTAGGTAACACTTGTAAATTTAATTGTATTTCATTATAAAACACATGAGAGTGGGGGCACAGAACACACAACATGCGATGACCATTCAAAGTTCATAGGCAGGAGGATGTCCATTTTGGTTCTTCGCACTCCAAGTTTATTCCTACTAACAATCGACTCAGGTCTCTAGCGCCCACCTCCACGAGAATGGCGTCTTGGACCTCGTCATTCTAGGACCAATCATAAATCAGAACTGTATTCCCAAACAACGGACGATCACAACCAATAGGCTGCGTCGCCAGAAGCATCACTTCGGCATGCACGGCTCAAGGATTTCGTCCTTCCGCCCTATCCGAGGTCTCTTTACAGCGTCATGATGTTTATCTCGACAAATATTGTCGCAGTATCACGTACAGAGTGGCGCATTTACTCATCAGATTCATATGGACAATTTTGGAGGGGGTTTAAAAGCCAAAGGTTTCCAAAAAGATCTTAATTTTCCTTCCCGTAGAGAGAGAAAAAAATAACTTTATTTTTTTAACGTTTGTTTTCATGTTTAACTTTTTGATTTTTATTAATCATGTCATGAATTCATGCTAGTTGTCGTTTACGATTACAATAATACCATTTGAACCACCTTTTGCCAAGCATAGTTACATATACTCATTGCTGATTTCAAAACATGATTGTCGCATACATTTTTCCTGAGACTGCTACAATCAACTTCCTCCTTTCATTTCAGAGGACCCGGCGAACGGCTGTCGTCTACAACGCTGCAATTTCTAGAGACGTCACTGATTTATTGAGCCCAATTGTCGCCGAATCTATTTCTATGAGCCACGGAGCGAGGACGTCGGCGGTTTATTAGCGGGAAGAATCAATGTAAATCGAGGCCACTTCTCGGGCCAAAAATAGCTGTCGGCCTGTTACCATTCTTGATTGAAGCAGCGGTAGCATGCCATGTCGCCGTATTCCAGAAATCAATTTCCTTCTATCAGAATCAAACCGCACCATTATGCCCACAGACTGCAAATTTCGTGATGGGAACAATCAGGAACGAATCTGCTCATGCAGCACTTACAAATAATTTCTGACTGTTCTTCAGAGAATCAATAGGAGGAGAAACAGGAACTGGAAGCATATGCATGTACGAGATTATCTTTTAACGCGGTACATTTAAGAGCGATGCATTATGACCATTTCTTTTTCTGAGAACCCCTATTCTTCCTGAAATGATCTCGGAAGCACTAACTTGACAAGACCACGTTAAGGAAAAAAAGACATTCACATTAAAAAGTAGGCGGACGGTTTCAAGGTTAATGTCTCGTCAGAGGTCGGCTACCTTCTTTACCTTTCAGTTTTAGAAGAGCTTCAACATTTTCCGTTCGAAATATCTCTGGTATTCAATTTTTTTTAATTACAAGAGCAAAACTTTCAAATCTAGATAAGCGACCATTTGATTTTTTTTATTTTATTTTATTTTTAATTTGGGAACATATAGATTTTTCCTATTTGTTGAGTGAGAAGAAGAAAATCGCAACTTAACATACGAAACACAGTTACTAGACATTCAAAATTCCAAGCTTCAGGTTCAATTAGAAGTATTCATTATTTTCGACGTAATTTGCACATTTTGCAAGAAAAGAAATGATAACCCATGTATCACACATACACACACGCATGCTCGTCCGATTGACACGCACTGTAGAATGTCTTTCACCTATGCCAGAAGTCTTGTATTCTCTCTTAAATGCAAATACAAAAATGTTACGTTCAAAGAAAATGCGAACGTCAAATGTACACCAGATACACTCATACAATCAGGCACTAACCGACTTGCGTTCATAATTTGGGTAATTTATTTGTTATCAGGGTCGGTCAGGAAGATTTATGCCGGCGCAGGCCCAGGCAATACCCACAGTCCATACCAAACACTCGCTATTAAAAAAAAATTATAGAAAGGAAATGAAAATACCAGAAATGATTACGACTGTCTTCACGAAAACAAGATTGTCCAGAGATTATTTTTACAAAGCCAAAAGCACGGGCCCCTCTGGCGTTTATCAGAATGGGCATTTGTTCAATGCCGCCCTGTACACTCTTTTGCCAAGGGGAAAGAAGAGACTTGAAACGAGAAGCTTCCATTTCGCAGACTGCTGCTGCGGCAGAAGGGAACGAGGAAATGAGGGCCCGCCACGGCCCCCCGAGGGCTATTCGATGCCGGCGACTCGACGGCGCCGACGGCGGCGACACAACCGTGCGTCACCCGCCACAGAGGGTCGAGCACACGAAACGGGCGGCCCAAAACACGCGCAAAACAATTAGGCTATAATTTTCTTTCTCTTACGAACGACGTCGATACTGGCTTCCATGGCGTAACAGTAACCGTGTCGGACTGTTATTCACAAGTTTGCAGGTTCAAACCCAAGAGAAGCTGTGGATTTGTAAGGGCGAAAGAATCCTTCGTACGCCTGCCTTCGGAGGGGAAGTAAAGCGGGCTGTCCCAAGTTGGAGGTAATAAAAAATACGAAAAATTTTGTTGTACTTCGTACCTCTTATTCTCAGGTTGCTTTTGCCTGATTTTAAACGAATCTATACAAAAATGACGATTATTTATTATTATTATTATTATTATTATTCATATTATTATTATTATTGATTTCACTAATTTACCAAATTGTTAATGACAGTCACTCTTTCATTTTTAATATTTTTATCGTCACTCATATTTTCTTTGTACTGCGTGTTGAATCTCGCGCTATTCTTACTCCCCAACGAGTAACTTTAAAGCGGTTCTGCGAAACGACGCACATTTTATTTCCAATTCGGTAAATTGAATTTAAACAGTTTCGCCAACATTCACCCCAACACCACGCATCACCTGGAATGAGCGCATCGCACAAATCGCTCCGTTTTGGCCCGCTCTCTTTCGGGCGTTCGCCCCCACCGGGGCGGTCTAGCACGGGCAGCCGGGCCGTCAGCTAGCCGGCCGGCCACGCGCCGTGCGAGGGAATTTCATCGGAATGCACTCGCGCTGCCCCTCCGGTCGCGGCCTGCCCAGCCGGGTCAACCGACCGCCACCGCCGCTGCACGACGGCTGACGCGCGGCTGACGTCAGCCCTGGCGCGTGGGGGAGAGATTCGATCTCGCGACCGGGGGGAGGGCTACGCCTTGTTGTGTTGACTGAGGCCGATGTGATACGTATTTTTTCTCTCCTATCAATTGGTGCTACGTGCGAGGTGGTCAAGGTCAGATTAATACATTTTATTTTTTGATACGTTATTGCTTGGCGTTGCCGTCGATAAAGAGCTCGATTTACTTCATATTTACTTATTAACTTTGTACCAATTTCTTGATTTTTACGCTGTATAACTCACCTGCATCGAGAGAATGGTGGTTACGGGGAAAGTATGAAAACAGTTGATTGGATGCTGTGCGTGATATGCTCTCTTACGAATGGGGTACATAAAACGACAGACGAAAATCTAGATTTTAGTAGAAACCGAGTCAATTTAAGATCCAGTTAGTAAGAAAATAAGAAAGTAAGTAAATAAGAATCATAAGATTCATTAAAATTAGATAGAAATAAAATCGTGTGTATACCACGTGGGTTTACTGGTTCTAGTAATAGAGCGGCGACAGAAATCAAGAGGAACTTCGGGCTTGGGCGTTTTGTCGCCACGCAATCTTTACAGCCCTTCAAACGCCCTTGGTGCATTAATACTAACTTGTTATGTAGACTTCACGAAACAGGAACAATAAACCACTATTAACGGCCGTCGTCTGTTACAGCCTCGTCTGTTAAGATCAACTGAAACCAATGAGTTGGAGCTAACGATGGCGGATGAGTACACTTATTCCAAGAAATAGTGATTCTTTTTTATATTTTTTCCACATAAAAAGGTGCTATTTGCTCCAATTCGGCCTTATAATGTCATTAAATGTGCGCCAGAAACGATGAGGGACCTATATTTTAATGAGGCACGCTATCCAATCCCATGCGGTATAAAATATGTGTGCGTATATTCTAAAATTCAGTAAACCAATTGAATTAATCTGAAGTTCCGATACAAGCTTCAACGCAGTTACGGAGACTAACGCGCCAGTTCCACTGTAGAGTTTTTCGATTCAAAAACGCTAATCCAATCCCAACGGCTTTCCCTGAACCCAATCTGCGTCGTATCTCCAGAATTTCGCTGTCAGCCTTGACATTTTGGTCTGCCGCAGAGGTGGTAACGTACGGTGGCCAATGAAGAAGTGTCGCAACTGTGGACGCAGGAAAGGAGAGGGAGGTCCAAGTTGGGTCAAGTTGATATAACCCAATCGTAATTTCTCCTCCTCGGCATCGTTTCGTTGTCATCATAACAGTCAACAGTGAACTTGGATATTTTGTTAACTATTAAACACGCTGATAAAATTATTGTACAACATACGATGTTATAATTAAAATTTAAAAAAAATGATTCTAATTCAATGTGTTTAAAGTTGTAAACATTTGTTTTATCTCATCTCTGATCACTAATTCATAAACTAGTCTCTGCGTTAGTATTTCTTTCGCTTTATTAGACAACTATACACAAAAATTAAAACCTGAATTAAAATTACTCTTTATGACTACACCGAACATTTTCAAATCCCTACTTCAATACGAAAATGTAACCTTTTTTCATGACAATCATTCTCGAAATATTACTTATTTCCCTTTACATTTGGAAAGGATCGTCAAATGTCCATCAAAATACATGGAACCAATGGGACATATTGCCTCATCAAATACAACACCAAAAATTACCAAAATTTCACAGCTTGAGAATGACTTCGATAAATTGGACAGAACACAAAGTTTGGATGAGTCTAATAAGGTAATGCAAAATACAATGCCATTTTTTCTTAGAAGGAATTCCATAAATCTCATTTTTATATCTGACAGTTCGAACTCAACAAAATATTTCACCTCAAAATATCAGATAGAACCATACTATATTCAGCTCGTGGCTTGTTGAAGGATTACGTAAATCTTACCTACATACTACATACGCGCCTAATTGAGAACATCTGTGCTGGAAGTTGGTTAAACATTCGCCGAATGTTCCGAAACAAATTTCAAATCCATTCAGATAATATCTTTTTTCATCGAATGGTGGGGACCCATTCCAGTCCTTTCCCTCCACGAGGCCGACAGTCTCCGCTAGCGCCAGCCCCTTCGGCGCATTGTCCTTGAAACAAAACACGCGCGCGCGCGCGCCAGATGAGGGGAACGGGAGCGGGCGGCCGAGTGTGTTTTGTTTTGATTCGTTCCGCCCCACGGCCATTGCACACGCATAGCCGCCGCCGCCGCCGCTGCCTGCGGCGGGTTCTGCAAACGCGCAGTTCCGCGTAGTTCCGGGCGCTGCCGCCAGGCGGCGGGAGCTTCCGTCGCAGCAGCGACGACTGTGGAAGCGGAGGAGCGGGGATACCGGTGGAACGTGCACTAACACGTGTGCTCGCGCGAGCGAGGCACGCCGGGTCGTGCGCTCTGGCGAGGCGCACGCGTCTGTAAGCATTGGCACGCGCTCAGGTTCTGTCAACCGGAGCACGGTATAGGAGATTGAGGTGCTGGTGGTGACGATGACTTCATCGTCGACGGGAACGGGGATGATGACGGGATCGGT